CAGGTGCCGTAGGTTAAAGTCCCCAAGCAGGATGATGTTCGGAGCTGGATTTGTGAGGTTTTCCAAGCAGTGTTCTATTTTCATTAGTTGGTCTTTAAACTGCTGAGGGTTTGCCTCCGGTGACTTATATACGAGGACAATAACTACATTTAAAATCTCTATTTTGATTATCAGCACTTCCACCATATCATTTGAGGTGTTTAGCAGCTCAGTACAGATGAGTGTGTCTTTGATGTAGAGGCTGACCCCTCTGATGTGTGTGTGGGGGCTATGGATGACTTCCCACTCCCCCCACTCATTGTGGATAATCTTCCTTCCCCAACTTCTCTATTTGACATCTCTTTCCCCAGTTCTCTCTAGATGAGTCCCCTCGCCTCTCTGGATGCTGAAGCCGCAGAGGACGGCCGCGCCCCCCCCCCATCCTCCCTGCCCACACCATCCCCTATCTCACTACAAACTAGACCATAGTGATGTAGTTCACCAGGTTTCTAATTTTGTACCTCAAATATGAAAGATATAGCGCCGCTTCATTTAAAAAAAATGGCGCCTAACCTGCACTATGGTTGATAAGAGTGGAGAGGATGAACCTGCAAGAGGTGAGGTGGCTGCAGGTTCAAGTGGTCCTCTGTTCAACGTGTCTCCCCTTAAGTCATGAAAGGTTTAGTCGTACCTCGCACATATCCTGTGCCGGTAAGTACGACGGGCTCACCATAGCCCGTGCTGCTTGGAACTTTTTGTTCCCAGTAGCTGATTGGAAGATTAAGCCACTCAAAAGGTGGCTTGAATAGCCCGCCGTAACCGAGTAGCTGAATCTAAAACAACAACAACAACATAGCTGTACCTCCTGGCAGGTACAGGAACGTGGTTGCATATTCTCAATATCATACAGTAATACAAGAGAGGATGATGCACTCAAAGCCTTCAACCATACAATGTTGCAAATGTGTCAGCAGAGTTTAAAGTTCGGGGAATTACATAATAAACACAATAATATGCATTCACTGAAAGATAATTAAGCGTAAGGTGCTAATCTAAACAGTTGAAGACATTATTTATGTAAAATACTGACCATTTTGAACATCTATTGACCGCTAGGTAAAATCCCCGACGGGTGAATGGATAACTAACTCCAAAGCCCTTAACTGGACGAAGAATGAGGAGCGACTGTGCGTGGTTATTGAGGCCATCACAAGTGTTACTAACCGATCAGCAAGTTATACTCCTAACTGTACCTCACAACTACACAACCACAGTGTAAAGACGGAGAGTGTTGTTGCCTGCCTGGCTGCGTGCTGACGTGGCCGTTTTGCCATGGGGGGCCTGGCCATTCCTCCTGTGTTGCGGGTAAATTCCGTGGGCCTGGAATTCACGTGTAAGGCTGGTTATCCGGCCGTTGAGTTAGTTATGTGTGACATGCTTCGTGTTCCGGTGGAAGCTGTGTATGGCGTTGAGCTTGTTACGGCCCACCGGGTGATTGTCAAGTTCGTGGGGGAGGAGGAGTATCGGGATTTCCTCCGGCGGAACGAGGGGCGTTCATTGCAGTTGCCGGATGGCGCCGGCTCCGTTACGATCTCGGACCGAAGTGGTGCCCTGACATATGTCAGTGTGCACGGTGCGCCCCTGGAGTTCCCTGAAGACCTTCTCCGGCGCTTCTTCGGGAGGTATGGTGTAGTCATCAGTGTGCGGGTGAACAAGCTGTCCTCGGGGAAGTATGCTGGGAAGCAGACGAACGTCCGTACATTAGGTATGCGCCTGCGGTCGGATATCCCATCTTCTGTCCGGCTGCTGGGCTACTACGTTCGGGTGTACTATGCCCGGCAGCCCCGTACTTGTTTCCGGTGTGGCCAGTTGGGGCATCAGGCTGCCGGGTGCTCTGAGACACCTGCTGCACCCGTTAACTTATTCCGGGAGGAGGATTTCCCGCCGCTCCCTCAGGGCGTGGATTCCGGAGATGAAGTGGAGCAGGTCCCAGTCGTTGGCTGATGCGGCCCCTCCTGCGTCACCCGACATGCCCCCGGTGCTTGTTGCCCCTCAGCCGAGTGCGTCTGCGTCTTCCTCGACTCCTGCTGCTGAGCCTGGTCCTGCACCCTCGCCAGGTGTTCCGGCTGTGCTGGGTGTTGGGGGGGCTGCGAAGCATCCTGTTGTGTGCGGCCCGGTTCCCCATGTGGTTGAGGCTGCTGCAGTACTGCGACGGGCGTTGGTTCGCCCGGTTCGTGAGGGCCGTGGTTCTGGGTCCGCCTCCGGCTGTGAGGATGTGCGGCCAGTGCCCAAGCGTTCTAGGCGCTCTTCTACTGCTTGGGCTGATATGGAGGACTACGACGCGGGTGGAGCTTCGGGGGATGGTGTGGCGATTCCGGGTGCCTCGTGCTCTACGACGCTGGTGGTGGCTGATGTCCATGTGTCTGCTGTTGACGATGTTTGTGCGTCTACTTTACCTCCTGTTCTTTCTCCTGCAGAAGGTTCTCCGCAGTGGGAGGTGGTTGCTCCTACGGGCGTGGATGGTGTGGATCCTGGTGCGAGCCGAGGCATCAAGCTGGTGCTGAAGAAGGATGCCAAGCGTGGGGGGTCCCAGCAGATGCAACGTTCGGTGGTTGACGCGGGGCCCTGTGAGGCAGCTGAGGAGGCTCCCAGTGTGCTGCCCATTGCCCGGCCTCATGGGAAGGTGCCTCTCCGTCTCATCTTGGCCTCCGGAGTGGCGAATGATGCTGACCATCCGTTGAGTTTTGATATTGTTGACCGTGTGCGTCCTGATCCGTGGTGCCCTTCTACCATCTGGAGTCGTCGGGCTAAGTGTTTTATTGTGGGTGTGCCAGAGTTAATGCCTGATCTTCGTACGCTCAATAGTGGCCATGTTTCGGAGGACATTATGCTACTTTGGGAGGCGTATTGTATTCGCTTCCCGGCGGACGAGTGGCCGGACAAGTATGAGATCTTTTCGTAGTCTGTGTGCTTGCTGTGTGTTTGGTGTGGTGTTGTGATGTTTTGTTGTATTTTTTCTTTTGTTTTCTTGTGTTTTTGATGTCGGCCCTTCAGGCCGGTGTTTAGTGACTTTGTATGGTTGTGTATTAATTTGTTTGTTTCTTGATGTACTTTGTTGTTGCATTCTTGGTCCTTCAGGCTAGTTGTTGCGTTTATGCCTGATTTGTTTTCAGGTGTGCGTGTTTATTGTTATTGTTTATTTTGGCCTCGCCTTTTGTTTACGGGGCGGATGGCTTGGTGTGTGTTTTTTTTTTATTAATGTATTGATTTTATGTTGCTTTACCTGTTGTACGTGTTTGCACAGTCTTGTGTTTACACTGTTCTGTTTCCTGCTATGCCTCTTGTTGTGTATTTTGTTTTTCTGGAGGTGTTGTTTTGTACTGTGATTGTTGGATTGCCATTGTATTCTGTTTTGTGCTTTGATGTATGCTGTATTTTTCATGTTTTTCTTGTGTATGTGTTTTGTTGTGCTATGCTGTTTTGTTGTGCTATGCTGTTTTGTTGTGCTGTGCTGTTTTGTTGTGCTATGCTGTCGGCCCTTCTGGCCGGTGGTCTATTGTTTTCCTTTATGTATTCTGTATTTTTATTGTATTTAATTTGCATGCTCTGCATGTAAAAAAAAAAAAAAAAAAACAGTGTAAAGACGGATGTAACAAGCTGTGAAGCACACACTCACACCATTACCAAGCGGTGGGGCCAAGTCACAGGCGGTAATACTATTGTAACAAGGAATTCAGCGTTCCCTTTATCAATTGATATTCTTCGTCTGTGTAAAACTGCATACAAGAGTGGGAGAGAGCGGAGGGGGGGGACGTGGAGGACTTTGTGAAGAGAGGGAGGAGTAGTGTGAGGCACTTTACGTATTAGTGCCTTTATTTAATGTACATTGTAACAGTTAACTACTGTATCACGGTCTTCGGTATATGTTAAAATAATTATTATGAATATTATTATGATCATCTGATAAGACTTGAGGCTTATCAGTGGTTATTTGGGGTGACGTCTTCCACATTTCTTTCGGCTTGAGCAACAGAGCCACTTGACTGTGATGTAAAATCCAGCAAAACTATTGATTTTTTGCCGCTGAGCCTACACAAAATTATTTGCCACAAATCAAGACAACGACAAAGTATCACGATAATACCAAATATTTTACTGTAACTCGATACCGTTCTACACAACAAATATTTTCTTATATGCTCTCTTCAGTCTGTAATACCCTCTCCAGTAACAACGTACTGGAGCGAAAGATACGGAAGGTAATGTAGAAAAGAACCAGTGAGGATCAGAGGTGCCGTAGGCACAATCAGAGAACACTGTCTGAACATCAGAGGTCCACAGCTGATCAATACTCTATCAGCAAGCATTAGAAATATTGACGGACCAAAGGTGGACTTCCTCAAGAACCAATTAGATAAGTTATTGCAAGAAGTACCAGACCAACCGGGCTGTAGTGGATATGTGGGGCTTCGGACAGGTGCAAGTAACAACAGCTTGTTGGATCAACTTATCACAAGTCGAACTTGGCTTTAAGCAAGGATCGGGGAGTGGAAAAACTCCTGAGACCCTCTCCAGGTAAGGTCTAGGTACCCTCCTCCCCCAAACAAAAAATCATTCGGCGTGTTATAAGTTGTGATGCTTGCAAGCACTGGTAACACAGGAGGGAGCGACGCACTCTTGTAACTCTTAAGAGGTGTGAGAGGCGCGTCATGAGGGCAGCTGGCGGAGAGTCCCTCTCGGTGACTCCATCATTCAAACGTTGTATCTCAAGAGACTATTGCTATGGTTGTCAGTTCCTGAGGAAAGGGTTCTGAGGTGGGTTGGTGGGGGTGGCTCGTGGTTGGTGGGGTTGGCTCATGGTTGCTGGGGGTGGCTCGTGGTTGCTGGGGTTGGCTCGTGGTTGCTGGGGGTGGGTTGGGAGTTGCTAAGGGTGGGTTTGGTGGTTTCAAGAGTGCTGGTTTACAGTGTAAAAGTCTCCCCTCGGGGGATATGTTTTGGTATTCCTTGTGAGGTATACGTACCGCTGCCATGTTGTCCGGGGTGGGCTGGTAAGTGCGCATGAGGGCGGGATCAGTGAGGGACACGATGGTGACGAAGCCCAGGAAGAAGGTGTAGGTGAGGGCCACCCATCCGCCCGCGCACGCCGCCCACCGCCACCACCGTCGCATCCTCCACTACCACCCGCCCGCCGCCCACATCTACACAACAAACAGACAACAATATTTACTAATCAAGACACAGGATAAAGGACTGCCGTAATATGAGCCGCTGATGAAAATGGCTCCTAACCTACTAATTAAATCGATGTTAATTATATGACGTTAAAATTGCACATAAAGTTCAAAATGGTTTACTGCAGGACACATAGTTGCATGCATGGACGTATCTTGTTAGCTGTAGCAATTATATATTAAAAAACATTAAATTATGAAATGTCTGACATGAGGGCATGGTTTTATAAACATGAAATAGGGAAGTTTAACAGATTTATCAGCAGATCAACACCTACACACAACGTTGTTACAATGTTGCATCAAGGTAATGATGAGTGGTGAGTAATAATGTGTAATAATGATCAGGGTGTTGACCAGTCCAGGAGCCCTGAGGCCTGGTCGAGGACCGGGCCGCGGGGACGTTGAGCTCCGCAGTCATCGCAAGATAACCGCAAGGTAAGGTAACACCAGACAAATAGCTAGAGTTACGTCGTATGGTCGTGTACCTGAGAGCACATGTACACGTCACACTTCACGGTCTCGCTTCTTGCAGGTCGGCGTTCAATCCCCGACCGTCCAAGTGGTTAGGTACCATTCCTTCCCCCCGTCCCATCCCAAATCCTAATCCTTACCCCTTCCCAGTGCTATATAGTTGTAATGACTTGGCGCTTTCCCCCTGATAGTTCCGTTCCCTTCCTCCTCGGCATCTGACGACCTGGTAAGGAAAATCCTACCCTGATTACCTGAGTAACTAGGCAGGGGCATGCGGCCCCTAGTTTGTTCCATCGCTCCACCACGGGGGAGTCTCTCGCAGCTCCAGCACTCCGACGCAACCCATGTAAAGCTCATGAGCAATCCAGCTGGGACAGCCCAATCGTAAGGAGAGCAGCTACAATGTGGCACGATGCTACACTAACACAACCTTGAGGTTACCTTGAGGTGCTTCTGGGGCTTAGTGTCCCCTCGGCCCGGTCGTCGACCAGGCCTCCTGGTTGCTGGACTGGTCAACAAGGCTGTTGGACGCGGCTGCTCGCAGCCTGACGTATGAGTCACAGCCTGGTTGATCAGGTATAAAGTATGTGTATAGGTATAGAGTAAAGTATACAAGTATGTGTAATATAATTCAAGTTATGAAAATAATGTGGTGTCTAATTAATTTATATTCGTGAACATTATCCATTTTTTTGTATGTGTGTGTGTGTGTTTCCTGTGTTGAGTGGGACTGGGGCCAGATTCACGAAGCAGTTACGCAAGCACTTACGAACCTGTACATTTTTGTTCAATCTTTAGCGGCTTTGTTTACAATTATCAAACAGTTAAGGAACTCCGAAGCACCAGGAGGCTGTTTATAACAATAACAACAGTTGATTGGGAAGTTTTCATGTTTGTAAACTGTTTAATAAATGTAACCAAAGCCGTCAAAGATTGAGGAAAGATGTACACGTTCGTAAGTGCTTGCGTAACTGCTTCGTGAATCTGACCCCTGGTATTTTTTGCTTTAAGGCAAAATTGTCACAGAATCTGAAGAGCTCATTTGTATGACTGCAAATTCCAGCCCTTCCTCCTACAATGAGAGCCGTTATAGTACTGATGTGGTCGACGGTACAAATATGGCCGTGATGGACTAATAGAAAGATGACCCTTGTATTACTGAAACTGCACTAACCGGAAAAGCTTTTATAATTATGTTGTTAATGAAATCTAAACTAACTTAACCTAACCTGATCAACCAGGCTGTGATTCATTCGTGAGGCTGCGAGCAGCCACTTCCTACAGCGTGGTTGACCAGTCCAGCAACCAGGAGGCCTGGTCGACGACCGGGCCGCGGGGACGCTAAGCCCCGGAAACACTTCAAGGTAAGGCTAACCATCCTGCTGATTCATTCAGCTTTCTCAGATTCTCTGTTATTACTATTTTCTGACAGCAAACAAATTAAAGCCAATGAGAAAAAGTTTGAAAAACGACGAAAAGTGTGATTTCAGTCGAGAAGGAAGCCAGACACCGTCGTACATCAGGCAAGGCAGGACCCACACCCCACTCAAGTTGGCAGATGTATGACAACGATCTCATAAAAGCACGATAATGTAGACAATTTTCGTTATGTACGATTACTGTAATGTGCGTTTGGCGTGGCGTACGGTAGTGCGGCCTCGCCCCACAGAGCCGGGCCCTGGTCGAGGCATCAGGACTGAGAGCCGTGCTAATGCTCTCCTAATTTACCGTCCCGGGCCCCCACCACACACAGTAACAGAAAAATCTTGCACGTTTTCACGATGCAAATCTTCCTTTGGGAAGCAGATGGAAGTAGACAAACAAGTGTTATTAATGTATAACAGAATTTCTTATTATATTTAGATTCTCACACATTTATTAAAATTGTATGTGTGTTGATTTTTCTTCACGTGCCCACTTCTAATTGTTAGTAACATTTTAATTCGTTTTAGAAAAAGTTTCGTAATATGCAATATCTCTTTATAAAAAAACATATGAATAAAGAGGTCATCCGTTATGTCTTTTATAATGTTTATATGAATGTCGATAGACTTGCAGGTATTACTGTTGTTCTCTATCTATTTTCCTCACACAGCCCCACTCCTGTGTCACCCGTTCTCGCAAATTTGTATAGTCAATATTGACTTATTAACTACGTGCATAGGTGACATACTAAACATAATAGATACCCTTAAAAAGCTTCATAGAAAACACCGACCTTACCTAACCTTAGTATGTTAAGATAAGCATCTTATAGCTTCGTAATTACAATTGTTACTTAACCTATTATAGGTATAGGCTAAGTAATAATTGTAATTACGAAGCAATAAGATGCTTATCTTAATATACTAACAAGGTTAGGTAAGGTCGGTGTTTTCCATGAAGCTTTTTAAGGGTATCTATTATGTTTAGTATATCACCTATGCACGTAGTTAATAAGTCAATATTGACTATACGAATTTGCCAGAACGGGTTGTCCTGTGCCAGGTAAGTCCACTACGGGCTCACCATAGCCCGTGCTACTTGGAACTTGTTCCGAGTAGCTGAATCTATAACAACATCTATTTTCCTCTTTATTAGCCTACACATTTTTGTTACACTGTTGATAATTACAATTATTACGAGTCGTCCTCTTATTCTATCTGGAAAAATAATAACACTTACACTTATAATAACGTTTTTTTAAATAGATCTGCAGTCATATATAAATTTAGATTTTGAATTTGAAATTTTTATATCTTTTTTGAATAGATATCTTTGCAGGAAGATGTAAACAAAATCCTGTCGAGACAGTATGACACTGTCGGTCCCTACCTCAGACCACCTTCCTAACCCAACCACATCTATTTTGTAGAGTTATCAAGTCTCATAAGGAACTCGTCTTTCAATTGTTAGAAGAGAGTGAATCTTCACACGAGTGATGGAGAGCTGTTTGGGCACGACTCCCCCCCCCCCCACACACACGCCAGCTTCAAGCACACTCCTTAAGCCCTCACGCACCGCCACACCTGAATGTGCCATCATGTTCCCCGGGCCAGTGCCACCAGTGTCACTTACAACCCCCTGCAACCATCGGTTTCTCGTATCACAGTGATAGTGGGTGGTGAGGCTGGTACAGAGTGAGAGGGTGGGTGGTGAGGCTGGCACAGAGTGCAGGGTGGATGGTGAGGTTGGCACAGAGTGCAGGGTGGGTGGTGAGGCTGGCACAGAGTGCACGGTGGGTGGTGAGGCTGGCACAGAGGGAGAGGGTGGGTGGTGAGGCTGGTACAGAGTGCAGGGTGGGTGGTGAGGCTGGTACAGAGTGAGAGGGTGGGTGGTGAGGCTGGCACAGAGTGCAGGGTGGGTGGTGAGGCTGGCACAGAGGGAGAGGGTGGGTGGTGAGGCTGGTACAGAGTGCAGGGTGGGTGGTGAGGCTGGTACAGAGTGAGAGGGTGGGTGGTGAGGCTGGCACAGAGGGAGAGGGTGGGTGGTGAGGCTGGTACAGAGTGCAGGGTGGGTGGTGAGGCTGGCACAGAGGGAGAGGGTGGGTGGTGAGGCTGGTACAGAGTGCAGGGTGGGTGGTGAGGCTGGTACAGAGTGAGAGGGTGGGTGGTGAGGCTGGCACAGAGGGAGAGGGTGGGTGGTGAGGCTGGTACAGAGTGAGAGGGTGGGTGGTGAGGCTGGTACAGAGTGAGAGGGTGGGTGGTGAGGCTGGTACAGAGTGCAGGGTGGGTGGTGAGGCTGGTACAGAGTGAGAGGGTGGGTGGTGAGGCTGGCACAGAGTGCAGGGTGGGTGGTGAGGCTGGCACAGAGGGAGAGGGTGGGTGGTGAGGCTGGTACAGAGTGCAGGGTGGGTGGTGAGGCTGGTACAGAGTGAGAGGGTGGGTGGTGAGGCTGGCACAGAGGGAGAGGGTGGGTGGTGAGGCTGGTACAGAGTGAGAGGGTGGGTGGTGAGGCTGGTACAGAGTGAGAGGGTGGGTGGTGAGGCTGGTACAGAGTGCAGGGTGGGTGGTGAAGCTGGTACAGAGTGCAGGGTGGGTGGTGAGGCTGGTACAGAGTGCAGGGTGGGTGGTGAGGGTGACACAGAGTGCAGGGTGGGTGGTGAGGCTGGTACAGAGTGAGAGGGTGGGTGGTGAGGCTGGTACAGAGTGCAGGGTGGGTGGTGAGGCTGGTACAGAGTGCAGGGTGGGTGGTGAGGCTGGTACAGAGTGCAGGGTGGGTGGTGAGGGTGACACAGAGTGCAGGGTGGGTGGTGAGGCTGGTACAGAGTGCAGGGTGGGTGGTGAGGCTGGTACAGAGTGCAGGGTGGGTGGTGAGGCTGGTACAGAGTGAGAGGGTGGGTGGTGAGGCTGGCACAGAGTGAGAGGGTGGGTGGTGAGGCTGGCACAGAGTGCAGGGTGGGTGGTGAGGCTGACACAGAGTGCAGGGTGGGTGGTGAGGCTGACACAGAGTGCAGGGTGGGTGGTGAGGCTGACACAGAGTGCAGGGTGGGTGGTGAGGCTGACACAGA